TCTCCGCCACATCTTCCAAACTCTCCAAAAACCTCGCGCTCCTTATCGATCCCCTGGCCAATGATTTTCCGCCTCCTCTTCCTCATTATCCTCCAACATTTTTGCCTCCTTTGTCCACAATTTCCTGAATTTTGTGCTTCTCTACTCAACCGTTGTCCCTGTTTGCTATCACATCCCAGTGAAGAGCAACACACTGTGTTCTTTGCAGTGGACACGACACTAAAAAGTGCCTCACAACAAGTGTGTACATTTTTCATTCGCCTTTGCCTCACTAAGCCCTAAAACTTCAGCTCTACTGAGCAACACTCAAACTCCCACCTCACCACTACTTCTATTTATATGCAGCTCACCCTCTCCACTCGCCATTTAAATAGCGTTGAAGGTTTCATTAGAAGAGGCTGACGTTAAACATAAAGGAAGATCTTCAATAATATCGAGGGAGCCGCACTGTGAATGGCAATTCAGTTTCTCTGGAAGTTGAATAATGCAGACCGCTGGAGCAGCAACACTATTTCTGTGTGTGTGCATGCACACATGGAGGAGGGGTTGTGGTGGTGGCACTATTTCTCCTGTCAGATGCGCAAAATGATTATTTTTCACACCACTGCACACGTTTAATTTTTGACAATTAACCCATACGTCGGCAATAAGAGCTTTGAAAATGAAAAGCGCCCCCTCAGTGCAAGATATCGGCGTCAGACAATGAGGAGGAGAGAAAGAGAAAGACAGCAGGTCGGGGACGCACAATTGCTGGAGAAGATGCGTTTTTTGGACTTGGACGTGTTGGCACAATGTTTCTGCATAATCACCAGCGCCTGTGTGATAACACAGTCAACATATTAGTCGAAGGCAACAACAAACACTGTCTGCCGCGAGTGTGCCGAGATGTGTGCCATGTGCATGTTTGATGCAAATGTATGCAACGTTTTCGTCATCGGTTAAATTCTCTGTTGTTGTTTATTTTTAGATGAATCGATGAAACTGAGGACACCTTTTTTAATGATCCCATAAAAAATTGGAGAGTCCTCAAATTGCCTGTTTTGTTCAAACAGTCCAAAGTATTCAATTTCCAATGAGGTAAATCACACCTTTCCAGGGTGCATTAGAAGGACTTTGTTTTTAAAGGCGTCATCTGACTGTTTGTAGAGAATGGAGGCTCTTTATAAAAAACCAACTACAGACACAATCTGGAGATTATTCCTGGCAGAGAGAGAGAGAGAGAGAGAGAGAGAGAGAGAGAGAAGGGCCACAACAGGAGCCCTGGGACTACAAATGAAAAAAAGAAAAAACAGAAGGATGCTTTAGAGAGGAGAGAGAAAGCAGGTGGGGGTTGCTGTGTTGCGTACGATAATCTAAAGCTATTCGATGGCATTAACATTAAAAAAAAACAACTAATGCAAGAATCCTCCCTTGGCCCAGCCACAGATTACAGCTGTGGGTTCGCGTGTGGAAGCTATTATATAATTCATTCTCTATGATGAGATTTTCCTCCATTGCTGGTTCTCCTTTCTCGCGCTCTGTCCCAGCACTGGCAGGTTTCTCTTTTAATTTAAGGCGGAGATGTCCGAGCCACACTGGGTCTTTTTTTTTTTTTTGGGTGACTTTATAATCTTTTTATCCCTGTCTGGAACTAATTCATCTCAAACAGCGATTTGATGTCTTCTTTCAGTGCTTCAGTTTCAAACAGCCTCTCCACTCTGTGTATGCTGTTTTGTTGTATGGATATTTGTGCGAGTGTGCACGTGTGTGGCCATACAGAATGCGTGTGTGTGTGTGTGTGTGTGTGTGTGTGTGTGTAGTGCAACACTGTCTCACTCTGGTATTGTGAATTCTCTGCTCGCTAAGCTCCTTAATGGAGTCACTACAAGGGCAAAAAGCATTCCCATCATTTTGCATGTATTCCCCCCCCTTCCCTCGGCATGCCAGCTGATCACAGGTGTGCAGATTTGCATTAAGTCCTTTATTTTTCATTTTGGAGGTCATCCCTGATGACCCCCCGTTTTTGATGAGAGGTACAAGCGAACCGCACGCCGTCAAACTCTGGAAAGGATTAACTTTGCCCTTTGACTCCACATCTGCGCCGTGATTGGTAGATTACCCTTCACACGGCCAAATGCCATCTAATGATTATCTGGCCACATCTGAGGTGCGGTAACGTGGGCCTCCCCCTGGAGATCCTCTGTACAGTCAGTGTGGTCCACATAAGCAGATCTCTTGATTTGATAAATCTTTCACATATGAATGCAGTGGATCGGCCCGAGGAGGATTCCAGTGACAGCTACTCCCTCTTGTTGATTCTATCTGATCAATCCAGACTTCTCTTGAGGGGGAGTTGCACGTGAAGTGGAGGAAAGAGGTTAAGGTGGGATTTTAAATGCAAAGCTGTGTGCTGAGGCTGCTGTCAGAGGAGTGTTTGAGAAATGTCGTCATATAAATGTTGGTCGATCTTGAGAGATGCGTGAGGGACTGAGACTAAATCTGATGTTTGAAGTTTCTAGATTGATAAATCATACTTGACTATATCTTTAACTTTATTCAGCCTTTGACATAATACAAATACATCATCAAACTAAATAAGCCAATGATTTAAAGTGATGTATCAGCCCCTTATACCTGTTATTTATCTGTTACAGTGATGGTATTCTGTCTTTTACGTATACTGCATCTGTTGCACTCACACAGATGCAGCCTGGTTATACAAAGAATCTACATTGTAAATTACGCTTCGAGGGAAACGTATTTTCTCCCCGATTACGTTTGCTTTTGACGTATCACAAATACATTTGCAAACATACTCTGCATAAGTGAACACAGGGATGTCAGGAAGGATGGATGGGTCAAATAAACACAGGACTGTCACCCAGGAAACCATTGTTTGTGTCCCGTGTGAAACCAAAAGTCTGACATGCAAAACTTAATGTAACTAACATACGTATTTTAACCCAAACCCTGATGTATACTGACTAAACCTGGTTTTGTTACCTAAATATAATGAAGTCATTTTCCTGCTTTGTTGATAAGTTATGGGGCAATTCACAACGTTAAACACGTGTTTAAAGCTGCGACCGTAATCTGGTTTCCCTCGAAACGTAGTTGTGAATGTAGTTTAGTTGTATGGGAATGTAATTTTGTAGGAGACGGGGCTGAAAAATGTATTTTTTCGACAGCAACATGTAAAATCGGTGGGGCAACAATGGTGGAACATTGATGTCTGAAAGGCGCTTATAGTAAGTTTGCTGTGAAGCTTCATCTCTTCAAATTTAAACGCTCTTTGTTATGCACATTGACATTTTCTCAGGAATTAGTGGCTCTTCCGGCAGCATGTTGTACTGCCCATCAGCACTGCCTCCAAAGCCATTTTTATATGTCACCATCTATTGACCTGTATGCACTTGTATAAAAACCCCATAAATCTATGATAAATGTAATGAGGTCGGGTTTTGATGGGCTGCTGGGATGGCATTCACTACGGGTTCATATGAAGTAATGACAGCGATTCATCATGCTGTTATTCATGGGATTATCATTAATATAAATGGTAGTGATTAGCGACAGTTGATCTTGCTGCATGCAGAACTCATATCTGAGGGATTGAACTACAACGCAGCGATCACTCAACAGATTAGAAATAATGTCCGGGGCTTGTCTTCAGGCTGCGGCCTTGGTCCGGACTTTAGTCACAGATTACAGACAGCCAACTGGCTCGCACTGACTGCAAAAGGCAATAAAAGCCTCCTGTCTAAAGTGCTTGCTTGGTCTCAGATCTGAAAAATAAATGAGGGGCTGAGTTGAGTAAGAGAAGAACAAAGACAGAGGGATGTCTGCAAGAAAGCTAGGGAACAGAACAAGAGTGCAGGAAGGAATAGAAACCTGTAGTCCGCCCACTGTGAGTGTCCAACATCATGAAGCACACACACACACACACGTGAAGTCTACAGGATATGCCAAGTCAGTGCATCTAAACACACGGTAGAATAGACACGGGTTAACGTGCACACACGCACACGGAGAGAATTGAAGTGAAACCAACTTCGGCAACAGTTCTCTCAATGTCTCACCACACCGAAATAGCACCTAATCTGCAAACAAGGTTCACCTCGGTGTCACCTGCTGCAGAGACAGAAGGCTACCTGTGCTGTTATAACGTCAACAACTGTGAGATAAATACGCATAATCGTGTGTGTGTGTGTGGAAACTGATCACAGCTCCAATTTAAGTGAGTCTACGTCAAGGTTGCCACAGTAACTTTGCCGAACTACGCAAATAGACACTAAAATTAGACAATATCCCACATCTTTTTTACCTGTATACACCCTCACATAACACACACACACACACATGCACACACACACTGTTCTTCTTCTGAAGTATTTACTCTGGTTATCATCAGGAGAAACAGTGACTTAACAGTAAGACAATGTCCCTCTCCATCATCAGCACATTATTTTGTCCTTCGTCTGCCTCTGCGCCTCCTCTCCCACTTCTCTTTTCTAATTAAGGAGTTCAACGTCGTTCATGAAGCTCACTGCTGTGATTTCAAGCTCTAATCTCCTCCTCTCAACCTTCAGTCTGACTTGAGCATGAAACATGCATGCTTTATGTCACAATAGCTCTCTGATGTGCTCTCTGTTTTCTCTGTACTGTAACTCTTATTTTAAAAAAGGTGTCACCGGGCCTTTAGGGTTTTGCTTTTAAAAACTAATAATAGAGCAGAATATTTTTACACACAGACATTTTTAACGCTGCACTTTGTTGTATTGTCTATTTATACTCTTTTCAAAGCTGATTATGCAAACTTACTTCTGTTCATTTAAATTCCTCCTTTACCGGCTCACTTGTCTCTGTTATTCATCCTTCTTGCTTTCTCACTCTTTGGTATTCAGTATCTGCAGAGGCATTGCTGGGAAGGAAATCTGAGGACATCTCGTCCTTCCTGACACAGTAAATCGCTGTGCGTCTCTGGCTATTAACCCCATTTGATCTCTCTCTTTCTCCTCCAGGATCCTGCTAACAGTAGTGGTGATCTTCCGTATCCTGATCGTGGCCATCGTTGGTGAGACCGTTTACGAGGACGAGCAGACCATGTTCGTCTGCAACACCCTGCAGCCCGGTTGCAACCAGGCCTGCTACGACAAGGCCTTCCCCATTTCCCACATCCGCTACTGGGTCTTCCAGATCATACTGGTGTGCACACCCAGCCTCTGCTTCATCACCTACTCCGTCCACCAGTCGGCCAAGCAGAAAGACCGGCGCTACTCCTTCCTCTATCCCATCATGGAGAGGGACTACGGGGGAAGGGACGGGGCACGAAAGATCCGCAACATCAATGGAATCCTGGTTCAGCACGGCGGCGATGGCGGCGGAGGGAAGGAAGAACCGGACTGCCTGGAGGTGAAGGAGATCCCCAACGCCCCACGGGGCCTCACCCATGGGAAGAGCTCCAAGGTTCGCCGGCAAGAAGGGATCTCCCGCTTTTACATCATTCAGGTGGTGTTCAGGAACGCACTGGAGATTGGCTTCCTGGCGGGCCAATACTTCCTTTACGGCTTTAGTGTGCCTGGGATTGTCGAGTGTGACCGCTACCCATGTCTGAAGGAGGTGGAGTGCTACGTGTCCCGCCCCACAGAAAAAACGGTCTTCCTGGTGTTCATGTTCGCGGTGAGTGGCATCTGCGTAGTGCTCAACCTGGCGGAGCTCAACCATCTGGGCTGGCGCAAGATCAAGGCCGCCATCAGGGGCGTGCAGGCCCGCAGGAAGTCCATCTGCGAGATCAGGAAGAAGGATATGGCGCATCTGTCCCAGCCGCCCAACCTGGGACGCACGCAGTCCAGCGAATCGGCCTACGTCTGATGACGAGGAGAAGAAAAAAAGGAGGCGGAGTGGGGTGAATGTGCAAGAGAGACAATGACTTGATTATGATTTTAATTTAATGAAGATGATGTGGAGATGACCCCTCCTCTGCGATGAGATGAATGAAACAGAATGTAAAAAGACAAAACCTCCGGCTCTTCGGCTTAGAGAGTCAAGAAGGAGGAGGGGAAGAGGAAAATGAAAAAGCCTAGAGAGGACAAAAAGTTCTGTTCTGCAAATGAACATGATGAACACATTTTAGTCCCATGGGGAGAGACACTCCAACTGCCATTTTATACTTTTCTTTTTTTTGTAAACTAATTACCTTCTCGTCTGCCCCTCATTTCTTTCAAAGCGGGGAATTAAATCCTCAAGGGGCTGGAGAGGGATTGAGAGGATGAGAAGATGAGACGACGGGAGAGGAGAACGGATGAGAGGCTGTTTTGTATTCTTTGGGGATATTGGGAGATGACGGCAGCGTTTGATGCATCCCATGGTGCTTTTCTTCTGGACTGTGTCAGCCTCAGTGAAAAAGGGAGGACTAGTTATAGGGGATGGGACAAGGAGGATGAGTAACAACATTATTAAAAGAGGAAGGGAAGAACTGTCAAAGCCTCGTCGGACGCTCGAGAACGAAGGAGAGTTTATGAGAGAGAGAGAGAGAGAGAGAAGTTGTGAAAACATGTGATGTACCCAAAGAGGGAGAGAAGAGAGTTCTTATTTCGCTTCCTTTCCTCGCCGGAGACTCGTGGTAGAAAGAGCTGCTCCTGATCAGTGTCAGCCTCGCCTCTGCTGGAACATCGTCACGAGCCAAAACCAAGAGAAAGGACTGACGATGTTTATGTTTTGTCTCTTGGCAAAAGATGATTTTAACACAAACACAGCGAGTACCATAAACACTTTTTTTGTCTTCTCTCCTCTCTCTGCTCCGCGGTTGGCAGCTATATAGACCCCTGCCGCTTTTGACGACAGTAATGACTCTCGCTGCTCTACTTCTGCGTAAACTTTGGAGAGGAACTAATGAACAAATTGACAAGCAGCGTGTAAAAGTCTCTCCTGAAGCACAAATCAAACTTCCCTCCTCTCCGGCATTCCAGTGTGCTGAGAGGCAAAGGAGTGACAGAAAGAGAGGAGAGAAGGGGAAGAAGGAGCTCGTAGAGGAGAGGAACACATCACTTTATTACAACTTTAAACAAATTTTATAAAAATATATCACCATGAGTTATTGGTTGTTTTTTTTCAGAGAAAGCGATGGTGCCATTCTTGAGATATTTAATTATTGTTGAAAAGTTACATAGAGTATATCATGGTAATATTATTTATCCATTTAGAATATATCCAAATAGATTTATTTATCTTTGCGTGCGGGTTGGTTGGAACATCATGTTGATGTTTTTTTTCCAAATGTATAAACTGTCTGTCTTTTTTTCCATTTTTGTTTAGTTTAAAGCATTCCTCAGCGATGGAACTGATTAACGGCATGTGCGGGGTGGGGGGTGGGGGGGGGGGGGGGGGGGGGGGGGGGTCACGTTTGTGAGCTTTGTTTTGAAACGTACGTTATTGAGGCTGTGCAGCTGATTATTTTATTTTTTTTAACGTGCAAATATTTAAGAAATATTCATTGCAATTGTTACTGTCTTGCATTCAGCCCCAACACAATGCATCGTTGTACGTTTTCTACAGAGAGCCTTCTTCAAAATCAGCTGCACAGCTTCAGGCGATGACGGCCTGTGAGCCATTTGAAAAAGGCATGTTTACATGACGCAATGTTTCTTGACTGATCAAGCTGTGTAGCCGATGAGTAGTAACTCCCTAGGGACAGTTGTGGTTTTGTATCTCAGTGGTTTTTCATTTCCTTCCCGACGGGATTTCAGCATGCATGCCTTGTAAGAGAAAAGAACGTCATGAAAGAAAAAGATAAAGATGACAGAGAGTGTTGCACCTTGATTAATGCAGACGAGTGGGAGAGTGGCAGACTGAAGGAGCTCATGTCGGCAGCATGTAGGCCGCCCTGTCGTACACGAGTGCATCATTTAAAACAGGGAGCTTTACCGTGAAACCAGACATAGGGACCGATTCAATACACAACATGTGGTGTTTTTTAAAATAAAATTCACACATACACCGTCACGTTCCTCATAGCAGTTCATGCCTCTATTTCGTCTGAGGAAAAATCCAAAAATGCGTCTTACACCAGGTCTAAACTCACTGTAGCAGGTCAGTGGTCTGAGCTTCAGCATCTTATCTCCCGCTGCAAACTGAATGGCCTTAAGTAGCTCAACACTGCCACGTTTGAGAGTTTGACTCTTTGTATGGAGCGTGTCTGTTCCCTAAGTCCTGTGTTCCCTCAACCCTATGTTCCCTTAGTCCTATGTTCCCTAAACTCTATGTTCCCTCAGTCCTATGTTCCCTAAACTCTATGGTCCCTTAGTCCTATGTTCCCTAAACTCTATGCTCCCTTAGTCCTATGTTCCCTAAACTCTATGTTCCCTCAGTCTTATATTCTCTCAGCTTTACATTCCTTCAACCCTATGTTCCCTCAGTCCTATGTTCCCTAAACTCTGTTCCCTTAGTCCTATGTTCCCTAAACTCTATGGTCCCTTAGTCCTATGTTCCCTTAGTCCTATGTTCCCTAAACTCTATGGTCCCTTAGTCCTATGTTCCCTCAGTCTTATGTTCTCTCAGCTTTACATTCCTTCAACCCGATGTTCCCTCAGTCCTATGATCCCTTAGACCTATGTTCCCTTAACCTTATGTTCCTTCAGTCCTATGTTCCCTATGTTGATTAAGGATTTCCGACATTTCCCACAATGCCTTTGCTCACCTCCTTGGTCATCATGCTGAGGGTAAAAAAAAAAAGAAAATTAGTTGCAACAGCATCGTTCAAAACCCCTTATGTCTATCTTTAGTCAACTAGATTACTTTACATTCTGTTAACAAAAAATTAAGCAAAATAAAATGCACCACATTGCAAATGTATTGTCAACATTTTGAGTGCAGCTTTCAACAAACAAAGCTCGACAGTAGATGAAGAATGTTTACGTTCGATATTTTCTCCGTCTTTTGTAGCTTTTTTTTAAAGAAAAAACGTGCGTGTCATCAAATGGCATTGCAGCTGCTCTGGAAATACCTTGACATGACAATAAGTACTTCTGTGTAAGCAGCATAAACACACATTAGCCGGATCTACAGTGGCACTTGGAGCAACAGTGACAGCTGACATAGCAGAAGAAATCCCCCCCCTCCAAAATCTCTGTTTCCCCAGGCTGTCATAATCTCTGTAATTCTTACAGGTGATAATCCCCAGATTTAGGGATCGGTGCAGTCTACTGCATGCGCTAGGAGGGACGAATATGCTGAAGGGGCACGCCTGGAAGCCTAATAATAGAGGTTTAGTCATGGCTTCCCTCAGTAGCTGGTGCTTCTAGCGAAGGCTTACACGCTGTCCTTGAGCTTAAAGGCCAAGCAAATGTCCTGTACGCAGCTCCTGCTAGACGCAGCGCTGATCTGATTGCCACAGAGCACAGGTCAATGTGTGAGGCCTATTTTTACACATGCATTCATTCTCGGGAAAAAAAACACAGCACATCTGGACGTGAGAACATCAGTTTGGATTCAGTTGTTATGTCTGGTTTCATTCAGGTCAGAAACACGTATACACACACACACACAGCGTGACATAAATATGTCCTGGTTTTCTTCGGTTTACATTTGTCCAGCGTTCATTAGCGACTCACGACTCCTGCAGTTATACAGTCGGTGGGTTCACCGCTTTCCAAAGGAAAAAGCAGGCTCCAGTTCTTCCAACAGTCTACTACTCTCCACAGTCTACTTTTCTATTTGTCAATGTGAAATTAATTATGTAACTTTTTTTTTTTCTCATTTGCTTATCTTTTTGACTTGTGGATTCATTTGTTGTCTGTTGCTCTTTTTGTGCAGTGACATATCCAAAAAAAAAGAAAGATGTTTGTTTTTTTATATGTAAAGGAACAAAAAGTTTTTTTGTTTTTTTCAATGTGTAAAATCAAGGGTAGAATGTTGAAATATAAGACTAGCAGAAAAATATATTATATTTCCTCCCTTGCCAAAGTGATATGCAAAATCAAATTCATTTTCAAAGGCTTTTTAACTGCATGTGTAATGGCTAGAATAAGCATGTTTCTATGTTTTCTTCAGCAGAATCTTCAATGAGAGACTTTTTTTTTTGTCCGAACTATGAAGCGAAGCTGTTACGTCTCGATGCCAAGTGTGTATATTAGCTACCCAGTTCTTCAGACGGTACAGAGCCAGGCAGACAACACCAACTCAGTGATGTTAAAACTTCCTATTACAGTTCATCAGTCTCAGTTTCTACTCCCAAAAGATTTTGAAATCAACTACATACAGTAAATCTTCTACTTTGAGAAATTTGCACATGAATATATACCTTTATAATCTGTTGTAGAAGAGGATTTATAAGCCAATCAGTCAAATGATCTACTGTAAAACACAGGGTACACCGGAATATAAGCATACAGGTTGAAGGCTGGCACCACGAGATGTCAGACGCCAGAACATTCCAGGGTTTAGTCCCCAGCACAATGTGTAGTTACCCTCCAATTCACAGCCTCTCTATGTGTTAAATGTGATGAAATCCTCAGTGGAGCTCCTCACAGGACGCGTTGTTGGGGAACGGTACACTGACAGCAGACTCAGGAAAGAAAACAATGCTGATCTTTTACACCAATCTTTTCTAAGTCAAAAATGCTGTTTCTGCATTAGAACACGCTTTCAGAGAAACACGTCGGCACACTTTCCCTCGACCTTCTTACCTTGTACTGTAAAGCCCACCCGAGAAAAAAAAATGTTTTCAAGCCTGATTATTTACCTGTTGGTGCTATCGAGGTTGGACTCTTAACCAAAAAACATGAATTCAGATACATTCCCTTGTCTTCAGCACACTACTGCCCCACAGACCACAGGTCATGTAGCAAAGCAGGTCTCCTTAAAAACATCACGCTGTTACTCTTGACTGTTACTAACGAATCCACAAAAACTAACAAACTTTGTTCTGCGGAACATGTAGCGAAGGATTTGATTCCTCAGGAATGCAGCACGTAATTGAGCTGCTTCATTCATTAACGCAGATGCTCACTGAACGACCACCGTACCCTTTATACTGCCAAAAAGACTTTAGATTAATTTAGTAATCACATTATGGAGCCAATTGGTGGCCCTTGAGCAAGATTTGGAAGCGCCCCTCTTATACAGTCACGGGCTTCTTACTTATTGCAAACTAAAAGCCATACTTTTTAAGAAAATAAACTTGACTCGGCACATTATTTTCAAAGACACAATGTGCAAAGATTAATCACATTCATATGTAGTCAATTAAGTGATGATTTTTTCGCATTCTAATTGAAAATTAGACACCTTGTTTCAAATGAAAAGCGTTTTATTGTTGAATGAGAGAAAAAAAGAGTCAGTTATGAAGCTCCTTTTATCCAGATGTCCATCTTAAATTTGTGAGAAATAAAATGCTCCCTCCTCCTCTTCCTCCTCCTCTCCCTCCTCCTCCTCCTCTTCCTCCCCCCTCCAGCCCCAGTCTGACACTGGTGCTACTGCACCACGGGCTAGATTATAACCGTTTCCGGGTTCAGAGAAGAACCTCTCACTAATCTGTCATGATATCAATCGTGATTACTTCGTCTAATTACGCTGAGTGGCAGATACAGGCAGAGTGGGATTTAAAAACCAACATTCGGATTGGACCAACTAGCCGCCGGTGCATCTCTCTCACCTCTCTCTCTCTCTCGCCGGCTCTCTGCAACCACCTAACTGGCAGCGGGGTCGTGGATGTGAGATTATGTGACCTGAGATATAGCTGCAGTTTGTGGCTCTAAAATGCATTGTTGATTCATTGTTTTAAGTGGAAAAAGAAGATGAAAATACCTCTTGTCTTCCCACTTCCTGATCTTACACCAGGTCACCTCTATGTCTGCTGTGTGAGAAGATGTTACGATGAGAGAGATAAACAAAACCTGAATGGGGAGTGGGGGAGCAGGGTCAAGTTTAGCCAATATTTGGCATCCTATATAGTGGTAAATTAATTTTAAGGGATCCGAAAGGGAAAATAGTTAAATATCTTAGCCCTAGCAACTTGTCTTTCTTCAGCATAGCTTCTACTGTGACATCTGTACGGATGCAAAGGCACGGACTGAAAACAGTGAACAGTGAAACACTCGAACACACTCGCGCTTTGTAATCTTCATCTGCTGCATCCGACTGCAGATTTCTATGGTGTACCTGACGGACCTTCGCTGAAGGTTCACTGTATATTTCTGACTGGTGTACTGTATGTAAAGACTGAATAAAACCTTGAATGTTACATAAAGCCTGAACCGGCCTCTCGCCTGCTGATTTACGACCAGTAAAGCGTGTGTGTTCGTGCATTATGTGTGTGTATTGTTTCCTGTACAACGTGATATTTATGTGTGTGTGTATAT